TCTCCACACTGAAGTAAGGTGAGCTTTCTTCATCTCCAGCACAAGAGATTGCCCACAGTGTTTTTACATCTGCTCATTCATTAGTGAGCAGAGAATTATGAGTTAGAAAATGCAGGTGATTCTCAAACAGGCCATAGTTTGATTTTAAATGGCAGATGGTTTGTTTTCAATTGGCTGATTTGAATTCCTTCCTATGACTTTGTATGTCTGTGTATTTTTGAGAGTAGGATGGGAAGTGACATTTGAATAGAGATTTCAGCTAGACTGCTGGGAAGAAAGAGAAACACTTTTACTTGACAACCCATTTTATCTTAGGAAATTGAGTCAAGAAGAGTATGAGCGGCAAGAAAGAGAGCAGCAGCTGTCAACTGCAGATGAGAAGGCGCTTTTGGCTGCAGAGGAAGTAAAAACTTACAAGTGAGTTCAGCTTCTAAAGGTGGTGTCAATAGCTAATGAAACTAGTGTTAGCTTTTTTTTTTATAACCATTTTTACATTTTGTAGAAGAAAATAATTGTACAGAGGCATAAATGTCAGAGGGCATTTCAGTTCACACAAGAGAAAAACTAATTTTATACCCAGTGCTGGCAAGACTGTAAGGGAACTTGGTTCATGCAAACAGTTTGGGGGAGAGGGGTGTATATATTGCAGTAATTCTTTGAGAGACCAATTTGTTATAGGATGTATCAAAAGCCATTAAAGTTACTGTGCCATTTGATAGATGCAGTAGTCATAACTCTCAGAAGTTTTCTGATAAAAGGGGGTAAAAAAGCTTTATCAAGGAAGATAGTAATAGGATTATTTGGGAACACATTGAAGAACATATAAGGAAACTATAATTAATCAACTCATAATCTCCATCGACTCAGAATTTCTAGCCATTAAATAATAAGGAAATTATGTAGCATTAGTTTTCATCATTGTTGTACTCTATTTATATAGCCATGTAAATATGTTTTTATATGTATGGATGAAGTCTTTTAGGGTACAGTTGTTAAGAGTATAGGGAATGTGGCCAGATTGTTTGAATTTTTATCCAGTTGTGCTTTAACTGGTAAAAACAAGTGTAATTCTTAGGCGGAGAATTGAAGAAACGGAGGAAGAATTGCAGAAAACACAGCGCTCATTTAGAAACCAGGTAATAATTATACTGCCCTACAGTTGCAGAATTCTTTGGTATCGAATACAGACTGTTATCATGGCTATTATAATGAATTCCAAAACATATTTTTTGGTGTATCTTTTCAGATTGCTGCTCAGGAAAAGAAACTGCATGCTAACTGGGTAAGATTTTCTTTCTTTCCTTTACTTTGTGTGTAATCTACCACAACTGAACTTAAATATATTTTCTCCAACAGGTAAAATTTCATGCTGCAGAAAGGGCTATAGCTGAAGAGAAAAGGGAAGCCGCTGACCTGAGACACAAGTAAGTGATTTTGATATCTCTATTTTCTGTGCAGTTTAGTTTATTAAAGGTACTATGTGGTCTCTAGTAAGGAATTGATTTCTATTTCATATTTAAGTCTATTCTTTCTCTATATTCAAGATTATGGGAAATAACTCAGAAGGTGGCACTGCTGCAAGAAGAGCCTGTGATTGTAAAACCAATGCCAGGAAGACCAAACACACAGAACCCTTCACGGAGAGGTGGGAAACATTTCGTAAAAAGCAGCAATCTGTTTTTTGGTGTAAAGCATATATAAACTACTTTTTATTTTATGTGTAATAGTTATGATGCCCTAGAAATAATTCCAAGAACTTACCGAGGAAAAGAAAGGTCTTAAAGTGGTAACAAGACGCTGTCTTCTTCAGGTCCTCTGAGCCACAATGGCTCGTTTGGCCCATCCCCTGTGAGTGGTGGAGAATGCTCCCCTCCACTGGTAGCAGAGCCACCCGGGAGGCCTCTCTCCGCTACGCCTAACCGAAGAGATATGCCTAGAAGAGAATTTGGTGAGCATTCACATGTGACCCTGGAATAAACTGTTGGAAAGTGCTCTATCCCTCTTACTCGAGATTTCGAATGCAAATAACGTTTTAGAATTTGGGTCTTTCCAGTAGACAGAAGCAAATTTCTTCATTTGTCTTGGTGGATAGTCTACTGCAAGATCTACTTTAGAACAGAAAGCATTTACTTATTATTTCTTTGGAGGTCCTTTTCTTGTTTTTTGTTTCTTTTAACTTTTTACCGAGAAGTATAACCCTTTATCTTTAAATGTGAGGTTCCTCTCCAGAATATTATAAAAGTAGCCTTAAAACTTTATAGTTTATGCAGCATATATACTTCTATATATCAGCACTATAACCTGAAATACTGTAAGTTTGTTTTAAAAATCCTAAATATGTCTATAATGCTAGATAAGATATTGAAGTCAGATTATATAGTGAAAACAATCAGCCTATAGAATTATATCAAGCTTAAATGAAGTACAGAACCAGTGCTACTAATGTGCAGGGTTTATTGCTATTATTTTAATCCACAACAGTTCTTATTTTAATTCTTTAAGCCCATGCATAAATTACAAGTGATTTCCCTTAAGTGTATTGGGAGACCCATTTTTAATGCCGCTTTCTAGGTAGAGTTAAACCCAGGTCTGTCCAAAATTGGTTTATTTCTTCTGAAAAAATACATTCAAGGGCTCAGTTATCTCTTTCTCAAGGGTTAGTGGACAGGCCTCTCTCATCCTCAATGGTCTTCTGAGGTGTCTGGGAAACCCTCTGCCTCTGGTAAGGGACCTAAGTGTGTTCAAAGAGTCTAAAGTCATGGTGGAAGGTGAGAGGAGGATTTTTTCACAGTGTGCAATCAAAATAAGTCTA